TTCGCAAACCATACTAGATATCAGGTTTCGTGCCCCTCCCACCGAGGCCCCGCCAGAGCGAGCAGGGTATTCGCAAACCATACTAGTTAGCAGGTTTCATGCCCCTCCCACCCCTCCAGAGAGGCCCCGCCTGAGCGAGGAGGGTAACCCAAAACATTACAATTTACAAGGTTTCGTGCCCCTCCCAGCCCTCCTCTACCATACCATTCGTACTTTACTATGCCATACCTGCCATACCATACCTACCGCATTCGCAAACCATACTAAATATCAGGTGTCGTGCCCCTCCCACCCCTCAAGGGAAGCCCCGCCTGAGCGAGGAGGGTATCCCAAAACCATACTAGAAATCAGGTTTCGTGCCCTTCCCACCCCTCCAGGGAGGCCCCGCCTGAGCGAGGAGGATATCCCAAAACCACACTATGTACAAGGTTTGGTGCCCCTCCCACCCCTCCAGGGAGGCCCCGCCTGAGCGAGGAAGGTATCCCAAAACCATACTAGATATCAGGTTTCGTGCCCCTCCCACCCCTCCAGAGAGCTAGAGAGGCCCCGCTTAAGCGAGGAGGGTATTCCAGAACCGTATTGTTTACAAGGCTTCGTACCCCTCCCACCCCTCTAGGGAGGCCCCGCCTGAGCGAGGAGGGTATCCCAAAACCATACTATTTACAAGGTTTCGTGCCCCTTCCCGCCCTCTAGGAAGGCCCGCATGAGCGAGGAGGGTATCCCAAAACCATACTATTTACCAGGTTTCGTGCCCCTCCCACTCCTCCAGGGAGGCCCCGCTTGAGCGAGGAAGGCTTCCCAAAACTGTACTACTCACAAGGTTCCATGCCCCTCCCACCCCTCTAGGGAGGCCCCGCCTGAGCGAGGAGGGTATCTCAAACCATACTATTAACCAGGTTTCGTGCTCCTCCCACCCCTCCAGAGAGGCCCCGCCTGTGCGAGGAGGGGGAGTTCGGCGATGAGGAAGGGTCGATGGTGATTATGGTGGAGATGATCATGATGACGATGACGATGACGACGACGACGACGACGACAACGACAATGATGATGATGATGATGATGATGATGATGATGATGATGATGATGATGATGATGATGATGATGATGATGATGATGATGATGATGATGATGATGATGATGGAGATGGTGATGGTGATGGTGATGGTGCTGGTGATGATGATGATGGTGGTGTGCTGGATGATGATGATGAAGATGAAGATGAAGATGAAGATTAAAGTGAAGATGAAGATTAAGATAAAGATTAAGATGAAGATGAAGATGAAGATGAAGATGAAGATGAAGATGAAGATGAAGATGAAGATGAAGATGAAGATGAAGATGAAGATGAAGATGAAGATGAAGATGAAGATGAAGATGAAGAGGAAGATGAAGATGAAGATGAAGATGAAGATGAAGATGAAGATGAAGATTAAGATGAAGATAACAGTGAAGATGAAGATGAAGATGAAGATGAAGATGAAGATGAAGATGAAGATGAAGATGAAGATGAAGATGAAGATGAAGATGAGGATGAAGATGAAGATAAAGATAAAGATAAAGATAAAGATGAAGATGAAGATGACGATGAAGATGAAGATGAAGATGAAGATGAAGATGAAGATGAAGATGAAGATGAAGATGAAGATGAAGATGAAGATGAAGATGAAGATTAAGATGAAGATGAAGATGAAGATGAAGATGAAGATGAAGATGAAGATGAAGATGAAGATGAAGATGAAGATGAAGATGAAGATGAAGATGAAGATGAAGATGAAGGTGAAGGTGAAGGTGAAGGTGAAGGTGAAGGTGAAGTTGAAGGTGAAGGTGAAGGTGAAGATGACGATGAAGATGAAGATGAAGATGAAGATGAAGATGAAGATGAAGATGAAGATGAAGATGAAGATGAAGATGAAGATGAAGATGAAGATGAAGATGAAGATGACGATGAAGATGAAGATGAAGATGAAGATGAAGATCAAGATCAAGATCAAGATCAAGATCAAGATTGAGACCAAGATCAACATCACGATGAAGATGAAGATGAGGATGAGGATGAGGATGAGTATGAGGATGAGGATGGAGATGGAGATGAAGATGAAGATGAAGATGAAAATGAAGATGAAGATGAAGATGAAAATGAAGATGAAGATGAAGATGAAGATGAAGATGAAGATGAGGATGATGATGATGATGATGGTGATCATCATCATCATGATGATGGTGATGATGATGACGACCGTGACGATGACGATGATAACGACCACAACCACTATGATGATCAGAATGATCATGATGATGATAATGACCTGAGTGGGGTTATTGTGTTGGCACTGCGTTTGTGGCCTCGTGATCCCCCCAACCCCGTAACATCCTTATGAGGGGAACTCCGTTAGCAAAATATTGTTTGAAGAACAGACATGTGTGTGTATATATACACACATATCAGCCAGCGTTGACTCCAAAGGAGGACAGGAGGAGGACGAGAGGAGGATGGGAGGAGGACGAAAGGAGGACGGGAGCAGGACGAGAGGAGAACGGGAGGAGCAAAATCAAGCAAGCGCAAGAAAGCAAGCGGAAGCAAACAAGCGCAAGCGAGCAATAATAAGCAAGCAAGAGCCAGCGATCACGTGCAAGCGAGCAAGCAAGGGCAAGCTAGAGCAAGGAAGCGAGAGAAAGCAAGCAAGAGCAGGCCTAGGCATAGGCATAGGCATAGGCGTAGGCGCAGGCGTAGGCATAGGAGTTAGGGGGGAGGCATGGGCATAGGCATCGGCATAGGCATAGGCATAGGAATTAGGGGGGCCTAAGAATTAGGAGGGGCAACGGAGCAAGTAGTAGAGAATGAGTTAGAACTCCTATAGGGCAAGCCCAGTTGGAGAATAATATGTGTATATATATGCATACACGTATACACCTATATACATGCATATCTACACATATACAAACAAGTGTGAGCACATACAGACATCTATAGACAACAAAAACTACAAACGTCAACTAACATGTAACATTTCAACAAATGATACATACATGTTTATACATAAACACTATAATATAAGAGTATAACGTAAATAACTTACTACATGTGTGTATGCAGCTTGTTGCTTATAAATAACAGGCAACACAACGAAACAAACAACAAAAAACATACAAAGAACAAAAAAACGAGGATTAATGTTGTTCAAGCCTCCAGTTGTCCAGGCGCGCCTCCTCATCCACTCTCCCCCTCCTCATCCCCTCACCTCCTCCACAAGCTCCTCCATCAGGAGAGGCTAAGTCCAGACAGAGTAAGCCCAGACAGAGACCGAGCACTTCGTATGGACGCACTCTGTATGGACTTAGCATCCTGTCAAGAAACGCTATGTCCAGACGGAGTAAGCCTAGACGGAGACCGAGCACTCCGTATGGACTCACTCCGTATGGTCTTGGAACCTCCTGACTCCACCGCCTCTGGGGCAACCAACGTGTACCCATACCGCCTACTCCCCGGACCTCTTCCGGGGTGCGTTCTGATCAGGATTTCGGTTCGCATCTCAACCGTGGCGACGAGGCAAGGACAGTGTCGTGGACAACTCTGCCTCCTCTGAGCCCTTCCTGCCTCCTGAGTCGGGCACGAATGAAGAACTTCTCAGAAGGCTGGGGGACTCCGAGCCTTCTGAGAAGTCCGCCCCCTCTCATTCGCCCCTGGGGCCTCCCTGAGCCTTCCTATCGACACCCAATGCGTCTATGGACGCTTGTGGTAAGAACGTGAGCACGGTATTTAGCACAGGTTCGGGCTGTTGGCCTTCAAAAGGCAAGTGGACTTCGCCCTCCAATACACATCCATCCATCCATCCATCCATCCATCCTTAGGTCAGGCATGTCCTTCTACAGGCGGATTTTGGAAGAAAAATGGAAAATACAACAACAACAACAACAACAACAACAACAACAACAACAACAACAACAACAACAACAATCATTTAAGACTGGGGACACTCCGTTCTCACCAGTGCCAGGGTTTTCATAGGAGGCGGGCAATACCCCCACTTTGTGGGGGGGCCGGTTCAAGCTCTACCAAATTTCCAAACGACTCTTCGCCACCACCCACACCCAGCTTCCCGCCCTATGACGTTCGGACACTTCACTTCGTGGCATGCGGACGACCGTGGCTACTATTCAGGGCCCCGCGGCCGACGACGACGGCGTGCGCGCGCGAAGAAAAAACGAATGTGTCCCGCATGGTATTATTTGACAGGGATGATGGCCCTGGCAGGTGCGCAACCGTTGTCGCAGAAGTTCGAAAAAGTTGCTCGCAAAAGCCCGTTTGACAGAAATGTTTAAAAAGTGTTGGGTTTCCTACGAATCCGCAAGAGCGCGCGGGATGAGATTTTGACAATTTTTTGTTGAAAAACCATTGGTTTTTTGATGTTTTTATGTTAAAATCGCTGCGAACACTAAGCTTTTGGAAGGATTTCGTCTTGCGCGCGCGAATGTCCACTTTACCTTATTTTTTGCAAGGGATTCTTGAAATTTGATTATATTAGAACAAGAAATGTAATTTTCTATTGTTTTTTGCAAGGGAAAGCGGATTACAACAAAACAACCGGATCCTGTACACACCCTCTTTTCTGAGGCTTCCTCACGAAAATGATGAAAATGTAGCTGCGGCCTAGGCGGCGCAGGGGGGGCGCGCACCAGGGGGCCCAACAATAATTATTCTTTAGAATAAATAATGTTCAACAACAACAACAACAACAACAACAACAACAACAACAACAACAACAACAACAACAACAACAACAACAACAACAATAACAACAACAACAACAACAACAACAAAAAAAAAACTGTCAAACAGAGTCAAAAGAGCACGAATCATCGTCCCCTGACTGTCGTTTGTAAACCCTTCTTGAATATGCATATCCATCCATCCTCTCCTGCCCCGCTGCTGAACCCCCCCCTACCCCGCCCCTCGTCCTCCCCCTCCTCGCCGAGCGGAGGGAGAGGGGCAGGCAGGAGTCCACGGCGGCCGAGTACTGCATCTGGACGTCCCACCTGCCGCGCAGCAGCGCGGGAAGGAGACGACCACAACACATCGACTCATCTCGGCGCCGAGCACAACGGGGACGTCAGAAGGGGTGGGCCTTCTCGGAAGGCCCAGAAGGCCTCGGGCCTTCGGATCAGTCTTCGAAGCCTTCCCCGAGCCCATCGCAACCCTATCGGAAGGCCGGAGAGCCTCTGAGAATCTCCTCCGCCTTCTGGGAAGGCCTGCTCCCTCTCAGTCCCGCCCCGGGGCGCGCCGCCGACGGTCAGACAGGTGGGGGACCAAGAAGCCATGGCGTGGACATCAAAACTCAAAGAGGCCCGCGCAGAGTCCTCGGATCGGCGCTGGGGCCCCCCCCTGGCGGCGCCCCCTTGCGCCGCCCCCCGGCGCCGCCCCCGGCGCGCCCCGCACGCCGGGGGGGAGCCCAGCCCGGCTCCGAGAGAAGAAGATCCGCGCAGGGGCCTCCGGGAACTACAGCAGGCCCTCGACCCACCGGCCGCCCTCCCGGGGAAGCGCCCATTGGACACGCACCCCGAAGCGATTCGAATGCGCATCGGACTTTGAGTCTGGGCTGCGCTGACGAGCTATCGGCTGCGGCCGTCGACGATCGTCAGTCGTCGCTGCACCTCTGGGGACAGGCCCACGGCGCGCTGCTCGATTGTGGAAGGGAGGGCGCCCACTGGACACGCACCCCGTACCGTAGGGCTCGTGCGGCGTCGGCGCGCGGTGGTGTTTGACACCGCATCGATCGTTCGACCTTGAATCGATCCCGCTCGCTGGCGAAGCGGAAGCGCGCGCCAGACCCATGTCCGCGTGTGCCCAGCACTGGCTGCTGTGCTGCGCGAGGGAGGGCGGGAGTGGGCGGGGGACGCCGGCTCGCTCGAGCTGGCCCGCTCGATTCCTGGTCGTGCTCCTGCTCAGAAGTCCTCCGCTTCCTCTCACCCTGACCGTATCCCCTCGCCGTCCTTCCTCCAACGTTCGCCTCTCCTGCCACCTGCTCGCTGCCTCCAGGGGGCGTCCCCCGATGCCACATGCCACCCGTCCTCTTCTCCCGGGCACTCCCCGACAGGGGAGGAGGGGGATGGAGGAGGCCGAGAACAACTGAGGAGGAGGAGGAGGAGGAGGAGGAGGAGGAGGAGAGGAGAGGAGAGGAGAGGAGGCGAAAGGAAGACAGGAGGCAAGGAAGCCAGGAGACAGGAGCAGGAGGGAGAGGAGAGGGAGAGAGGAGGAGGCGGGAGGAGGAGAAGGAGGAAGGAGAGGACAGGAAGAGAAGAGGGGGCAGCAGGCGGAGGAGGATGGGGAGAAGGAGAAGGAAAAGAGCAGGAAGACTGGAGGAGGCAGAAGACAGAGGAGAAGGAGGAGAGGGAGGAGGAGGAGGAGGAGGAGGAGGAGGAGGAGGAGGAGGAAGCGGAGGAGGAGTCCCTGCAACCACCCTTCCGTCCCGAGGCAGGCCGGGCGGGGGCCCACAGCAGGCTGGCTATCCGTCCGCCGAGGTCGGGAGGTCCGCTCGGCCCGAC